GGTTAGGGTTCGGGTCTGGACCGTACCTTGGGGTAATATCCTGGATAGAGTTTTTCGGTGACTGGAACGATGTACTCTTTGAGGAATTTGAGCCACTCTTTCTCAAAGCCAATCTGGTTCATGTGGATGTCCACAGTGGGGACGTTTTCATAACCACCGGCCAGTCGCTCGTCCTGAACAACACAAAGAGGATACACAACTTTCAAAGCCCAGGACTAGTCTGCACTCATACAGACCATCAGAATGAGGGGTTACCTTGTGCGATCCTCCAGACCACTCGCCATGGTCCTCCATGGTCTCCACCAGATGGTCGCACATCTTGTCTGAGAAAGCTGGAAACCAGTAAACATCTGGACAGGGCTAAAACACATAGAATATTATTCAACCACAAATATTTGTTAGCTCTGATCTGAGCGCTGAGGTATAAAAAACGCATCACAATAATGTGAAACTTTTTGTTGCTCAGCGTCGCTGCTGGTTTGCGTTTTATTACCTGCTCCACAAAGGCCTTCTCATCCTCGAAGATCTTGGAGTAGTTCTCATTGATGTACTTCTCCTTCCAGTCCTGCAAACACAAACATGTTCAGCTCGAGCTTCCCTTTCAGTTTACCACGTTTGTGTTGACGTGTTCATGCATGTTGGTCTGACCATGGGGTTGTCGAAGATCTGCCACATGTCCGGGTGCAGCCTGGACGTGTTGAAGTTGGACGATGCCACTAAACGCCCAAACTCGTCCCGGTTGGACACAAACATGAAGATGCCCTGTGGACATAGAGTTTCATTGTTGAATGAAACCACATCTTTAATCAATATAGGAGCAATCATCATTTTAACAAGATACACTTTGTAAAAAAACTGTGTTTTAATCCTCTGAAGACCAAAACCTGCCGGTGGGTTGGAAAGCCATGGCACTGGGGTCAGTTTAGACAAGTCTTTGTCATGCTGGAGACATGAAGGTGCAGACAGGACAAACAGCAGCCTCACTCTGCAGCTGGTAGTTCAGGTGTGTTCAGGTGTTGGTTTACCTGGTCTCGAATGCTCCGGCAGAACACCATGTCAGGGTCCATCCCCTCGTCCACGTACAGGCTCACCTGGGACAGTGTGGATCGCAGCATGCTGCCTTTGATCAGGTAGGCCTGAGTGATGTAGGGCACATTCCACAGGCCGCTGCACAAAGAGTCCACACAAAGGCTCAGATGGACACACAGGGCAATGTTCTGCTCCATGATTATGACTCTGCTGGTAAATCATCCACCAGCGTCCACTAGACTAATGGGTACTAATGCAGCAAAGTGTCAAAAACCTGAATATCAACAAAAGTGTTGAAAACTTGTGTACTATACATAAATACATAGAACAGCTGGTATTAGTGCATCAGATTGTCAAAAACCGGGATAGTACTGCAAAAAATCACCAAGAACCTAGATAATAACACACAAGTGTCAGAAGGTGTGCAATAATGTTCAACAGTGTCAAAAACCAAGTACTACTGCGTTAAATTAAAAAAAAAAAAAGCCTGAATGTCAAAGCTTTAGTATCAAAAACATGGGCATGAATGCCTTAAAGCTAAAAAACAAACCAACCCAGCATTAGTGCATCAAATTGACAAAAACTGGTAAACTGATGCACAAAAGCACCAAAAACCCAGATATCACCACAGAGAAGTACCAATTACCTGGAAAACAACGCACAACCACGCACACAACAGCTGCCTATGGCTGCCTTACATCGTCAAAAAAAACCTGAACAATGCCACACAAACGCACAAACTAGCTGGATAATAATGCACAAACGTATCAAAACTCTGTGTAACAATGCACTAAAGTATGAATAAGCCAGGTATTAAGGCAGCTGGTGAGCAGGGAGGTGCGCTTGTTTAAAGGACCCTCACAGGAGGTCAGCTAACACATCTGAAGCTTCACCTCATGAAACAGTCAGAGGCTCCACCTGGTGGAAGAACCAGGTACTACAGCTGATCTCCAACACGTTGACCTGCATGACCTCCTTCTGCCTCATACGTTCGTATAAATGTCATGGGTTACATTACAACTGGTTGAGGTGGTGTGTTTTTGCGTTTGCACTCACATCCTCTTGCCCTGCACGATCTCGATGTAGTCCTCAGATCTGGAGTAATATCCTTCAGGACTCAGAGCGCCCCAGAAGTTACTCCACAGCTTCCCGTGTTTGGACAGCATTGGCGCTATCACCGACCTGAGAGAGGGTTTAGAGTCACTACAAGACACAAGAACACACAACAGGACGCTGTGACGGTGAGGAGGCGGCGTACTTGTTCTCCTCTATCAGGATCCTCAGAGTGTCGGGGTTGGTTAAAGCCACGTCGGAGTCGATGCTGAAGTAGTAGTCGCACTCTGGGTCCTTCTTACAGGCCTCGCTGCACACAGACACACAAACATGCACACGTTAGCCGTCCACATGTTCTTATTCATGCTTTTCTCGACTTCACACCTGCTGAACCACGACAGCCAATCATGCAGCTCTCCTCATTGCAGAGGTGTAAAAGGACAAGAGGCACAGAGAGCAACACTTTCTCACGCTCATATGTCCTTTCAGCTCAGTCAGCAGGAGTCCAGACAACACACAGCACAAAACCCGCTTCATTTTCTGCACACGTATGCAGTCGTAGACAAAAGCTTCCATCCACTATAAAGTCTATCACTGAGTTTCCAGTGACTCCTCGAACAGCGACACCATCTGTTGGATCACAAATACACCTACAGCAACGTAATCATCAGCTCTGGTGATGTTGTTCCCAAACGAAGCAGCACATCACTGATGATATGTTCCAGCAGCGTTGGAGACGATTCGTTCTTGTTTTACAGTCTAGCAGCTAAATGTCGTATCTGGAAGATGTTTTGATCACTTTGGACAAGTTTTGATTCTAAATCCGATGAGAAGCTCTCGGGTTCTAAAGCGTGTCCACTCACACTGCCATGGTTCTGGCCTTGTCCTCCTGCAGGTTCTCCTCTGGTCCGACCAGCAGGGCGTCGGGGAACAGGGCCCGGTGACGCTCCCAGAACCTCTGGATGTGGCGCTCGTGGTACACCACCTGCAGCAGGGAGAGGTCAGACCGGGTCAGAACAGAACCAAAGAGCAGAGGACGTCAGCGCGAGCGGTGTCGTACGTTGTTGTGGATGAAGAGGCGGATCCTCCCGGCCGGGTAGTTCAGCGTGGTCAGCCGGTCCAGGAACTCCTCCATGAAGGGCGTGGCGTGCTCGATGAAGACGGCCACGTACACCAGCGGCAGCTCCTCGTCCTGCACACACAAACACAGGTCAGACACGGCGACCGCTACACAGCGCCGACTGGTTCTGGTTCCAGGTGGGCGTCCGTACAGGTACGTCGGTGAAGAACAGCAGGTCGTCGTCGCAGATCCCGCAGCCGCTCTCGTAGGTCCAGGCCGTGGGGACGTAGTTTCCCAGGTAGTTGAGCTGCAGCTGCAGAGACACGAGTCAGTTACTGTTCAGGTCGACACACGTCATCACATCACACTAGAACCCACTGGGACAGAACCACAGCAGCAGCCGGCAGCGGTTTCATCAGGATGGTGTTCAAGTCGTTTGGGACCACTCATGATGGCAGTGATCAGTTATTCCTTGTTATCAATAAATCTATTATTAGTTTCAATACATTGTCATTTGTACCGAACCAATAATCAGAGAACTCGGCTGACCTGAAGGTGACGTCTTCAGCCAGAAGTGCCAAAAACCCAAAAACTCTTGAGCCGCTTCTCACCGACTGAAACTAACAACTACCTTTTTTTCAATCAGTCAATTAAAGGTCTGAAATCTTTGCTCAGCGGACGTTAAAGTGTTGCTCATTAGACCAAAAGCTCGAGATCACCTAAAACCACAACATACATCCATCTGTAACGTTCTGGTTCCACAGAGCTGCACGACTTTACCACCCACAGTGAGGAAAGAGATGTCAGAGGCTCAGCAGCAGAGGGATGGAACCTGCAGCCTCAAAACAGGAAGTTCTGTGACGTGTCAGGGTCACATGGTGTTGGTGGGACGCTGTGATTGGTCGGTTACCTTGGTGGGCCCGTTGCCGTGGATGATGACGGGCAGTGTGTCATAGGCCACGTTCCTCGCTCTGACCTTCGCCCGCTCAAACTTCAGCACCACCTCGTCTGTGGGACACATTGGGACAGATTGAGGCGTCATTAACCCGCCGTCGTCTCACCACAACATCCACGGCCTCTGAAAACCAACCGCTGGTCCACTGGGGGAATAACACAGACCCGCTAGCTGCCGTTTTCGTCCATCAGTTTGAACTAAATGCAGAAACACCGACGGCCGGTTTGACATCGGTCCGTCTGGACTCGGCCGGTTCTGTCTGAGCTCAGTTTGGTCTCTTTGTGGTTGTTAACGATCTGATGAGACGAGCAGCAGTGGAACCTGATTCATTTATTGATCAACTGACAGCTGAAAAGCCGGTACCAGCCGGTGATGAAAGCCGTCCCAGACCACAACACACGTGACTCACCAACGGCTCCGTTCAGGTTCTGGAAGATCCTGGAGCGATGATCCAGAGTCATGTTGAACTTGGTCTGAGGAGACAAATCACATGGTCAGACATGCAGTGAAGCCTGGCGCTCCTGAAGGCGCCGCGGGCGGCTCAGCTCACCCTCTGGGCCTTGTCCAGGTAGATCCGGGTGTAGAACAGCTGGTCGTCGTCGTTGTCTTTGTACTTCCACTGCTGGACGATGGCGCTGAGGTCCGACGCAAAGCCGATGAACCCTGAGCACACAGTCAGGTTACCTCCAGTAAAACACAAACAGATCAAACAAGCCGGTGTGTCTGCGGCCTCGTACCTCCTGAGTTGAGGTAGCGTTTCCCAGAATGCACCTCAGGGTATCTGGAGGCCAGGCGCTGGTCGGGCCAGCAGAACCCCTCGGCTGAGAACACCACCCTGTGGCCCAGTCGAGAGAACTTGGAGAGCAGCTCCTCGGGTCCAGACGCAAAGATCACGTCGTAACTGCACAGACAGAAACCAGAAGAGAGAAGGTACCAGGTTAAGTCCTTCTGGACTGAGTTAAGTCGTTCTGGACTGGACTGGGTTAAGTCATCATGGTTCTGGACTAATTCAGACATTCTGAACACTTTGAGACATCTGAAGGACCTGCAGGTTCTACAGGGCACTGATGCAGAACCATTCTGCTCACAGTCAGACCACAACAGTGCGACGGGTCACTAGGAGCTGAATCAGTCCGATCAGCCTGAACCCTCAGCACACTGGATCAGAACCAGAACATGTTGCACACAGTGAGCAGGAGGCTGGATGCTGCGCTATCTGCACCGGATCCATCCATCAGCTGTCTGGGCTAAAATGGATCAGAGTTTCCTCAGATGTCTGGTTCAGTCTAAAGTGTTCAGTTTACCGAACCCAGAACCCAGAACTGATAGTTCTGAACACAAAGCGACTCCAGCTGGTGCGTGTGTCTGTTCCTGTGGCCACAACGATCTGTGACTGGGCAGCAGCCTCATTCAGAAACAGACCTGAACCCAATCTGTCATTAAAGAGCCAGAAACAACCGACAGAAGAACTAATAGGAACAGACATCAGTGATAAAAAGCACATTACAGTCGCTGTTTAAACACTATCGGTACCGAAGAAGCAGCGCTGCAGTGGAAGTATCTGCTGTTGTTCACTGTTCAGGAAGCTGGGATGTGAAGCTTCAGACCAGTTGTAGTCTCTGTAGACATGTTTGAGTCACTGTGGACAGGCTTCAAGTTGTTTTGGACTAATTCTGAGTTTGGACCCATTTCTAATCATGTCAACTATTTGTCCCTGGGTTTGGTCTCTCAGGCTCCAGCAGCTGTTACCAGCTGGTACGTGTTTCATGTTCAAACTATAGAATCCATGCTTTAGATTTGCAGGTCCGAGCCGTTAGCGGCACAGAGCGTCAGCCTCCAGGTGAAACCAAACCTTCGTCCTCCTGTGTGAAGCAGAACGGGAGAGTCGGGTTTCTCATCCAACAAGCCATTCAAAGAACAGGAGATAAAGAGAAGCAGAAACAAAGGCAGAGACAAAGACGGGTGGGGCAGAGAGGAAAGTGTGTCGGTAACATAATGACTCAGCAACTGTCCCACAGAACCCAAAGCCCGCCCACCACCACCGAACCTGTCCACGACGACAGAAAACCTGTCGGAGGGACGTGGAATGTGTCCAGTGGGGCAAAAGCTCCGTTACTCGAGGTTTGACCAAAGTAACAGAAGCCTTTGTCCTAAATGACCTGAAATGGTCCAGTGGGACAAAGCCAGTCCGCAGTGACTCCGTATTTGACCAAAATGACAGAAACCTGGTGAAGCGACCCTACGTGGAGCAGTGTGGCCCACAGGTGAGCTCAGGTGACCTTACCTGTCCACGAACATGATGACCAGGTCCTTGTTGTCAGAGTGTTTGAGCAGCTCCTTCTTCATCCACCGGACCTTCTGACCTCCACCCACTGTCCGAGCAACGTCTCCACCCTTCCAGTCCTCACCCAGACCCAGCACCTGGTGGACACCACCATCATCAACATCTCATCATCATCATCACCACCACCACCACCACAATCATCATCATCACCATCTTCACCATCATCACCATCACTACAATCATTATCATCCTCATCATCATCATCATCACCATCTTCACCACCACCTACATCCTTTGCAGGTCAGAGGTCGACTCACCTTCACGGTGTAGTTGAATTCTCTCGCCGTCCTCATGAAGCGCTGGAATCCGTCCGTCTCCTCGGTTGCCGCGGTGACCACCAGCAGGTTTTCTGCAAACACAGGGCCGGTCAGTGACGGAGGCTGATGAAGCAGCGTTCAGTCTGCTCAGACACCCACGACGCAGCGCAGGAGAGCGGCAGCGAAACGTAAGTACAACGTCAGTGTAACGTCCTGCGCCGTTAACAGTCAGTCCTCGCTGCAGGAGGATGACGTGGTGAGCAGAGTTTATGACATCATGACATCGTGGCGGGGCTTCCTGTGCTTCAGTCACATTCACCTCAAGCTTTGTCTCCTGGAGGCAGCTGATGGTCTTACACGCCCTGTTGTGTTTTTCAATGTGTGTTGGACAACGTTTTAGCCGTTTGGGGCAAACTGAGGAATTCTGAACACACTTCAGAACACTTTGGACCAAACCTGTATCGTTCTGGACAGAGGTTCTGGTCCGGTTTCTCTAAGGTTTTAGACATTTTGGGGGGAAAATGAGCCATTTAGGACCAAGTTGGAGAATTGTAGGACATGTTTTTTTTAAATGTCATTTGATTTGTCACGTTGGACACATTTTCTATCATGTTGGACCGTTTAGAATCACGTTTAAGCCCTTTGGACAAACACTGCAGAGGTTTAGGTTCAACACCATTCAAAACATCTGAGTCCTGTTGCTCTTTGTCCAGGCCACTGAGGACCTCCTGAGCTCTGCTTCTTCTTCCTTCACACCTTCCAGTGAAAGTGAGCGTCTTCAGCAGAAAACAAGTCTGAGCCTGACGAGGGACCGGCAGCAGGCTGAACTCTCTCTGCTCTGTTTAAACTCTCAGTTTGTCCTCACTTTCCTGCCTCCCTGCAGGCTTTCGAGGAATCTGCAGAGTGAAATTCCTCAGCGGGGTTCGTGTGGCGGCCGAGCGAGGCCGGGTGGGGGAGGTTCAGCGACAGACGCCTGGTTGTGCTGCACCAACTTCCCTAAATGTCCCCCGAGATGTGTTCAGGGGACGCAGGAATTACAGGCTTCAGGGCTGGTGAGTGAAATCAGGTGAAGCTGCAGCAGCTGGACGGAGCGACTCTGAATACTGATGAAGGGAAAACAGTGGACTGATGAGTGATGAGCAGCTTGTAGGTAACTTTGGACAAATTCATGTCATTTTGATTAATTTCTAGTAATTTTGCTCGAGCTTTTAAGTCATTTGACACAAGTTTGAGCCCTTACAGAATCATTCTGTCTCATTAGATGAATGTTTGTGTAATCATGGACAAAGTTTAAGTCATTTTGGATGAATCTCTGTCAGATTGGACACATTTTAGACAAGCATTAGTCAGGTTAAACAGACTCTTCAGTCACTTTGGATGGGTCTCAAGTCATTTGTAAAACATTTAAACCATTTTGGACTTATTCTGTCACACTAGACAAACGTTTGAGAAATTTAGGGCGATTCTGGACAAGTCTTAAGTAGACATGTTTTTGTCATTTTGGGTAAAATTTAAAGTAATCTTGAGCTGGTTTTGTCACATTGGAGACATCTGAGGTCGTTGTCAGAGACCGTTTGAATCACACTGTGGAGTTAAAGCCTTCCTCTGTGGAGCAGCTGACTGAACGGGACTAGTTGAGGTCAGCTGTGAACTGAGGCTCATCATGACGCTGCGATTCTGCTGCAGCGGAAACAAACTGTGAACCGAGCCAACAGGAAAACCTGCAGCTTCACAGCCACGTGTGTCCCAGACGCCACAGCCTTCAGCCGTCCTCGTATCTGCAGCAGACTCCCTCGGCGGACACTCTGACGGTGTCATGGAGCGGCTGTAGTTTGGTCTGAAGCCCATGCTGATGTGAACCTTGAGTCTGTGCTGGGGAAGCGTCCAGGCTCCTCCCTGGCTTCAGCGTGAGGCTCTGGGCTGAAGTGGGAGCCGTGGGCGGTGATTTAAAGCTCCGGAAAGTTCCAGAAGGTTGAAGTGGGAGCCTCCACAGAGAACATGATGATGAGTTCATTTATCTGAAGAGTCGGTATGAAGATGTCTCACAGCATCGACTGTAACCAGCACCTTCACTGTGGGTTCTAGATGAACCAGTCCATCGTAGACTGGTTTTGGACACGTCTGACTAATCTGAGATGTTTCCAACAAACTAAGAACCATTAAGGACAAGTTTGGATTATTCTGGACATGGTTTAGTCCCAGTTTTAATCATTTAGAATAACATCACGAGTCAGTTTGGACACATTTCAGAACCGCCTGACAACAAGCAGCCGTGCACACAGGAAAATGACACAGATCTGTCCCCTCATTGATCCTGATCGATTTATCTCCCCTGAGTGACCAACAGCTGACCTCCTCCACAGATCAATCACTTCAGCTCCAACCAGAGCAACAGGTCCTCAGATGGAGAGACTCGGACCTGCCGGTGGTCCAGGTAGCTTTCAGACTAACTTAAACACCTGATCTCCTCTGTGCTGATTGATTGATTGATTGATTGATTGATTGATTGATTGATTGATTGATTGATTGATTGATGGCTGCAGCTCTTCTGTCAGTTATTAGATGGCTCTTTTATGTGTTAAAGATGTTATTCGTGTGTAATATTCAGCGGCTCTGTCTCGTGTTGACACCACACAGAGCTCCGTTAAAGCGGCCGCTAGCTCCACGCAGCCTCCGGTCGCGGTGGACTAGCTTCAGATTAGCTTCAGATTCGCTTCAGATTAGCTTCAGACTAGCTTCAGATTAGCTTCAGATTAGCTTCAGATTAGCTTCAGATTAGCTTCGGGCTGATTCATAAAGTTGTAAACGAGGCTGCTAACTGTTAGAACCACAGCAGGAACTTGGTGAACTCTCAGCCAGCGACGGCTCCAGGCTGCTGGAGCCGATAAGACGCGGCTACGCTCCAATAAAGCCGTAATTAGCGGCAGTTAGCTCGGAGCCGCGGCTCCAGCGGGGCACGGTGGTCCGCACGGACGGACACGGGACCCCGCGGAGCCGCCTCACCTGGAGACAGCCTCCGCTTCTCGGCCGACGTGGAGCTCCAGAAGAAGGCGAGAGCCACGAAGCAGAGGATCCGCCGGGAGGACATTGTGCCGCCGCTGAAAGCCGTTAAATGCTCCGTTCAAACCGTGAGTTGATCCGCTGCTCCGTCTCTCTCCATCAGCATCCAGTATCGCGATACGTCCCGAGTTCTCCCGACGGAGGAGATTCATGTCAACACAGACCGCAGGACCGCCTCCCGCCCACTGTGGGCGTGTTCAGCCAATCAGAGGTACGACAGCTGTGAGCGACGGTACCACGGAGCAATCAGCGCGCCGGAGCTGCTCCACAAGAGCCAATCAGAGGCCGACAAATGGAAACGAGGAGGAGGGGATTTTTTTCCTGCAGAAAGTTCGTGAAAATGGAGAAAAGTGAGCGTTTGCCACGTCTGAAGCATTCCAGGAGGGAGCGGGAGAGCAGCGGAGGCACCGAGCGGGCAGGAGCAGAGACACGGACTGAAATACACGTTTATGGTGAATCTGCAGTGAATAAAGCGATTGAATGGGATCTACAGTCAGAAACCATCTGAGGACGTGCTGCTGCTCCTCACCTGGAGCTGGTCCTGTACTTAAAAAATACAAAAGGAGACGTGTCTGGTGATTAATGGCTGGTCTACTGTGTGAGAAAATCATAAATAAAAACGATAAAGGCAAAAAAATAATAATAATAATAATTTTAAAAGTTTTTTTTTTAAACTTTCAAAATCTGTAAAGTTGCTTAACTAACAACAGCAAATATTTGTAAAATAAAGATATTTTAGTTGATTTCAATACAGCAAACGCTTTGATTCTGCGGTCACATGTAGAAGAACACAGGAGTGTTTAAACACAGAATTCTGGTGTGAACACAGGTTTTAGTTTTAGGGGCAAATGAATATTTTTTCTATGACTTCTAGATTTTATCTGTAACTTAACAAAACAGAGGACAGACGTGACATATAAATAAATAGTTCTTTAATGACTTCAGTAGACCAGGCCTACTGCTGTCATAAGCGGTTTTTAAATTCTAACTAATCTGTGAAAACATATTCTGATTAACTTCTTTATCTTTAACATTTGCATAAAATGCTGATCCAAACTGGCCCGGACACACAGGTGTTCTGTCCTGGAGCTCCGTGGGTTCTGTCGGAACCACTGACAAAGACAACAGCAAACGTCACATTTGAACATGTTTTAAAGTTTTAAAAAATGACAAAGCAGATCGTTAAATCATTTACTTTCTATCTGAACGTTGTTTACCTTCGGAAGCCCCGCCCCCCATCGTCGCTCCTCGTTGCCATAGGAACGTGTCAACATCCCACCGGCCGTCGGGACAGAACCGGACATGGTCAGACCGAAGTTCTTCACGCCCTCCGAGGTGGCGGCTCACAACACCGCAGCCGACCTCTGGGTGTCTTTTCTGGGCAAAGTGTGCGACCTGAGCCCGCTGATGAGCCGCTACGGAGGTGAGAGAACCGGCCGGTCCGACCCAGGACACACGGCCGGCTCCGGGTCTGAGAGGAACGGTCCAGAACCTGGCTGAGAAACTCAAGAAATACTACTACTACTACTACTACTA